ATCTATCTAATTATCTAATTATACATATACTGTTTTACAGTCGTGGAAGGTGACTGTATAGGCTGCACTTATATCTATCTAATTATCTAATTATACATATACTGTTTTACAGTCGTGGAAGGTGACTGTATAGGCTGCACTTATATCTACTACTATATATATATATATATATACTGTTTTACAGTCGTGGAAGGTGACTGTATAGGCTGCACTTATATATATGATATATTTTACATTCCATAAGAATGGTTGTATTGACTGAAATTACTGTTTTACAGTCCTGGTATTGATTTTATTTTTTAACGTGTATAACATAAAACCTTAACTGAAAAAAGAAGAAGAAACTCATTTACACCGTTTCACCCCCACCCACCCCAAATGTTATACTCTCCTGTTCAGCGAGAGTCAAGTGGATATTATCACGTTTTCATGTCCACGAACAATAAGGGGTTCTGAAAGTCTTGTGAATTCATGTTTGCAAAACGTTTCTTTGAACAAGATTTTAGGCTAGATCTTGCATTTAAAAACCGTTGACCACAGATTGTTTCACAACAAGAATCGGAGCGTGATTATTATTATTATTATTTGCGGTAACGGGACACGAACATTGAACCCGCAGATCCACAGTCTGACACTCTAAACTCTGGCCACGTTCGGCCTTCCTGAAAGGTATAGACCAGTTAAACTTACTTTTGTAGCGGGAAAATTTCTAGAGAATGAATTAATCAAGTAGCAAAATATATTATAATATAATAAACATGGGTTGACTAAAGTTTAATCTTCCTTTAATAATATGTTAATTTTTTCGAGAATGTTTCGTATTATCTGAATAGTGGAAAAAAAGTGAAGAGTTTTAGCACTTAGCTTTTCAAAAAGCTTTTGACAAGATGCCACGCAAACGATTAGCTAAGAAAATCATGATGGGAAAGACCAGTTCTTTGGGTTGTAGGGTGGTTAGATGGGAGAAAGCAACATTTTGTTATAAAAGTCAATTTACGTTAAACTCGTGGGTACCTCCAGCTTACTAACAATGTTGAGGTACTACAGAATGGTTTGAATCATTTGGTAAGTTCGACAAACATTTGGTAAAAGATCTTTAGTTACAGTATGTGCAAGGTAATGCATTTGGGTTATCATAATTAATTTGGATCACACATTTAATACAGATGAGAACCTATTGAATAGCATGGATGAAAAAAAAATCTTTAGTGTAATATTGGATAAGTCATTCAAGACGTTTAGGCAGTGCCCTGTCTTGTATCAGAGGTAAGAGAATTTTAGAATGTATCTAAAAACACATTGATTACAAGTCAAAGGAAGTAATTATCTCGCTGTATAAATCACTAGTTAGGCTTAACTTGGAATACCGACACAGAGTTTAGGGAAGAACTACTGGGATGGTTCTGGGGATGGAAGGGTTGTCTTATGAGGATGGAATAAGATCTTTTAACTTGTGTTCTCTTGAGGAGAGGATGATAAGAGATGATCTTATTGAAGTTTACAATATCATCTGTTTGATCTATAGGATAAAGACCTCTAACAGAAGTTTGAGATTTGGAAAAAGTCAGGCTGTGCTCCAGTTAACATAACTTTATTTTCTATAAAGGTGACAGGTCAGTACTAGTGAAGGTCGGTATTTTCCAGGTGTTTAAAAGAGAACCCATAATTTTCTGATAAATAAAGAGTGGGATTACGTTTTTACTATTTCTTCAGAGACAACTTTGACAGACCAAATGATCTCTTGTTGTCCACAAGTTGTTCATATTCAATTTACTGTGACAAGATAGAGTAAGGAAATGAGTATGATATTTTCATGGAATTTGAAGTGAGGTGACACTCGTATTTTAAAGTTTATCTAACAGGTGCTGCCATAACATACCATGAGCTACAACGACGTCCTAGCATGCTCTTAGTTACAACGACGTCATAGCATGCTCTTAGTTACAACGACGCCATGGCATGCTTTTAGCTACAGCGACTTCGTAGCATGCTCTTAGTTACAACGACGTCCTAGCATGCTCTTAGTTACAACGACGTCCTAGCATGCTTTTAGCTACAGCGACTTCGTAGCATGCTCTTAGTTACAACGACGTCATAGCATGTTCTTAGTTACAACGACGCCATGGCATGCTTTTAGCTACAGCGACGTCGTAGCATACTCTTTGTTACAACGACGCCATGACATGCTTTTAGCTACAATGACATCGTAGCATGCTCTTAGCTACAGCGACGTAGTAGCATACTCTTAGTTACAACAACGCCATAGCATACTCTTAGTTCCTGATTACATAATATAAGTCATTTAGTTACAACGACTTCATGGAATGCGCTAATTTATAAACAATGTAATAATACCCTATTAGTTACAGATGGTGTCATGGGATTAATTACAGACGCACTTACAGGGTTCAAATGTACGTTACCTATAGTGCTTGAACTTGGATAATACGGCCTGTTGAAATAAAAATTTGAATCATGCACTTGTTTAGTGCCATAATGGTATGGATAATCCCAAGTTTTCCCGAACTTACTTTTAGTTTGTTCATCTCCATAATAATCACTACCAGGTTTATTATAATTTTGACTATTGTACCGTGTGTAGTTATAATCAGTAATCAATGGGTAACCAGGATTATCATTTCTAGTACTATTATAATTAGCCTCATTGGTGTTATGTACATCGCTAGGGTAGTGTTTTGCAATTGTTTTGTGGATTATACGTATATTCGACATTTTTGTTGTTGTGTCCTCTGGAATGAATTTCTTGTGACTTCTGTTGTATTCGATAATTCTTTCATTTCCATTATTCTCTGTCTTACTAACGTTGGAATCTTCTTTAGATTCTTCTATAAACAATGGTACCCGACGCTTTTTGGACCGAGAAGCAAACAAATAATCCTTTTTATACTCCCTGCTTCCGATATTTCGAGTATGGTTAAGTTTTTCCATCTGAGAATCCTGGGTTGGAGGAGGATTGCTTGAATTGTTTCTCTCACTACCTGGTTGAGTTATAAGAACAGTCAAGGAGGAATTAACCACACCAAACTGCTCTTCTAGCTTATCTTGGTCCTGAAAAGAGGTTCTCTGTATTCTTTTGGAGGTTTGGGAATGTTTCTGACTGTCTGTTGTTGGAATTGAAATATCTACCTGCGATGTAATATTCTGTAGTGAATCTTGTTTATCGTCCAAGTTAAGATATTCCTCAGTGTAACCACAAGTACTGCCAAGCTTATAGTCACAAATCTTGTATTTCTGGTTAAAGATGGACTTCGGAGGACAGAGGAATGTGAAGCGTTTACCATCTTGTTTGCAATAATGAAACACTTCGCAATTAAAAGTTTTATCTGCGTAGTATCCCTCTACTTTTGACTCGCACTGGAAAGTCACGTGTTCCATGATTTTTGATAGGGGGTCTTGTAACTGAGTTTTGTTGCTGTGTTCTTGACTATCGTAGACATAATCAGATAAACTCGGTTGTTTTTCCTGAGAATGAAACAAAACAATCACTTTAATTTAAAACAGTTATTCTTAACGGTAGTCACATAGGCTTTTTTTTTCTCAAAAGTACTTCATCTTGCTTACCAGCTTTTTATTTTTGAAACGAGATAGTGAAACCTAAAGTGACAAGGCTATATAGAAACAAACTTGTTCCACATTACACATAATAGATTACATAATAACCTTATACGACACATAGGATAAAGGCCACATCAGATCTACCCCCTCCTCCATAGTTCAGGTTACAATTGTCCTGAGTTTAGAAATGTTGACCAGAGGGTGGCAACAAGTATACATCCCCAACGTCTACACGACAACTCTTACCGAATAAAGCGCCCACAGCTAAAATTACGGATCATGTTCATCGGTATACCGCTCAAACCTTGGATCTCTTGATCTGTTGCCCAACATGCTATCCACTAGGCCACACGTAGCCCCTAGATACGACAAACTACATTTTGATAATCTCCATTTTAGATAGTATGATATTCACAGCAATGTCAATTCATAAAAAGATAGAGCGAATTTATATAGACGCCATATATTACGCTGAGTCTGTTATCATATACATGAAACTTAACAAACTCTGTTATTGGACGTTTATCAAAGATTAATATAATTGTTTATCGAACAAGTTGAATTAAATAATTAATGTGAAATGTAAAGTAAGTGCTATACGTCTTAAACTGTCTATAGCTAATAGACTGCTATGACGACATCTGTAATTAAGCGCTTATGGGTGGTTGATAAAAATGGCTTTTTAATTATACTCTGCGCGTCTTTGTCGGCACCAAAATGGGATTTATAGTAAACGTGGAGGGGATTATATAGTCTATATATAGAAGGGAGAACATTCTGCCTATGTTCATATGGGTTGTGGAAAGCTGGGCGGCTGTACTGTCTATGAGGCTTTGGCTGCGACCCGCAGATTGCTAGTCGAGCGCCCTAACCACCCGGGCCATATTATTTCGAACATGTGAATTAGTTATTAAAAAATAGCAATTTCTTGGAGATCACATAGACCCAACCTAGCAATAGTAAGTATTAAAAAGAGTTCCAAGTGTGATAAAAATATAATTTAAAACATCTTAATGTAAATACGCCTCAGGTGACTTAGCTATAAATCAGTGTGCTTATAGTGTTAAAATCGGGTTTCGATACCCTCGGTGGGAAGAACACAGACAACCCATTATGTAGCTTTGTTCAGCAAACAATTTGTAAATGACACTATAAGGGTAATGCACGTGCTTTTACACACTTACGCCATGATTCGTCACTTTAATAGTACTTCCGGTTAGTTTTGAAATTATTAAATTTCCATTTCCACTCTTCGAATGAGAAAAGCATTATGAGGTTTTTTGGCATGCGGATGTTTTACTGACGTCACGGTAGTACAAATTGCAACGTTAAGACGTCATTTTAATGTCTACTTACTGACTGACAGAGGACACACTACTGTATAATGATGCGAGTGGTTAAAACAGGTGACCCCTCAAGGCGCCCTTAGACCCCCCCTTCCGGAGAAATAACAACAATAAACATAAGTATCATTTTGAACGGTCCCTAGGTGTAACAGCTTTGCACTAAAAACATCTCTCTCTCTCTCTTTCGCTTCCCCCGGTGGGACAGTGGTAAGTCTACGGACTTACAACGTTTAAATCAGGGGTTCTATTCCCCGCATTTGACACAGCAGATAGCCCATTGTGGCTTTGTTCTAAGAGAAACAAGTAAACCTTTTGAACGTTCTTTTGGATGATTTAATAAACTTCAAAACAGCAAGATGTGTGGAACCATAAATAACTTCAGATCAAAGTATGTTGCTGTATCTAGAAGTATAAGTCCCCAACTGTGCCACTGGGGGGCCAGATCAAAGTAAGCTACCTAGAAAGATCAGAACTAGAAACTAACGTAGTTCACGAGGAAGCTAATCTTATATACCGGTCTGACTACGAATATGTATCGTCATAAAACAAAGACATATAGTAATTAAAATGCATTGATTTGTCAGTTGGTTACTCTCGTTGTTATAGGTGTTTTCGGTCGTAATACTAATGTGGTCATTATCAATGATTTTAGAGAAAACTGGTAAAGGTGAAAGAGACCAGTGATTAGCACTATTATAAAAAAGGAAGCAACTTTTGTTATTCGGGTAGTTTTTAAAAATTATATTTTGATTTTTGTTTGTTGTTAAGCGCAAAGCTACAAAATGGGCTCTGTGTACTTTGCCTACCACGGGTATCGAAACCCAATTTTAGGGTTGTAAGCCTATAGACTTACCACTGAGGCCAGTTATTTTGATGACGATTTATTATGCTGTAATGGACATATAATAGCATCGTTCATTTCTTTTTCATTCTGGAAAGATCCACAACAGTATTCTTGTTACTATTTTGTGGAAGGAGAGATGGAACTCTGACTGTATAGATAGGTTTTAAACTATTTAGATTTTATTACATTATCAACAATTAAACGCGAAGCAGTGAACGAATTATTAGGGTACTGACCAACTCCAGGCACAGGAATTCATTAATAACAATAATCTTTGTTTTCAACTGATGCATCCCTACCTGTTAAGGTAATACAACTCACTCTATCTAACTTCATTTCGAAGTTTGTCTACCAGTGCTCTGTCTTAAACAAATATTAACAAGTTATGAAATATATGTTTTTGTTTTTTTATGTTTCTCGTGATGATAATAATAAAAAAAGGTTTTATGTTGAATTACTGAAAATGTTGTCTTGCCATCTTTTATATAATTTTTATAACTGTAAATTTATAAAGTAAATGCAGTATTGAAAGATGCAAGAAAGTTTTGTAATAAAACGTCACTGTATCTGCTCGTCATTACCTTAATATTTAATAATATTCAATTTACTCCCTGAGGTATTCCAGAGGGTGGCCTATTTTATTGTTATTTAACAATTTTTTTTGTGTTGAAGATTTGTAAAATCACTAGGAATTTGGTAAATTAAAGAGCAGGTAATAAAGATTAAAAATTATTTGGAAAAATCGTGTACGTCAATATGACTATAAACTAAATGACTTTTATAAAAAAAATAAAGTTTTAATACAGAAAAGACAAAACATTAAATACTGTTATTATAATTTCTATTATGCCAATAAGAAATATAAGTTTGGGAACTATTACAACAGTCATTGTATTTTATAGTGTTTTTACAAGTTTTGTATATTTATATGTAGAGAGAAATAAAGATATAATTTTAGTGCCATCTATTGGGAAAAGCGTAATTACTTTATTATTATTTACAGTGGCCCGTCAAAATAGGACTGAAAATATAACCCATTCAGTTATTCTTTTATGCTACGTTTAACACAAAGACTAATGTTAGTAACGCCATTCAATAATAATCATACCACATTTGTATTTTCAGAATTTCAATAAGATAACATTATTATTTATTTCAGTTATACAGTAGTATAATTTTACAAAACGTTGATTTATCTTTATCTACATTGAGATATATACAACATAAAGAAAAAGCCAGCATAATATATATCTGAATAAACAAACAACAACTGAAAATCAATACATTTGATAAAGCTGACAATAACAAGAAAACAAAACACGGCTTAATAAGATAGAAACAATGAACATGCATGAGTTAGCTACAGATATATTTTGAGTGTAACGTCATCTTAGGTAGAATCGATGGATGAAATAATAAATTAAACTCAATTTAAATTTTCGAATTTTTAGATTTTTTGTGATGCTAATTATGAGAACTATTTGAATTAAAATTTAGTAAGTTTCTTAAATATAGTAAGTAATCGTACTGTTCATTATTGAAACTGTCTTGTTAAAATGTAACTCTTCTGACATTCACGACAAAACGAACTAAGCTATTATAATCGGTTACTGGAATTGTGAGATTAGCCTCTTCTAAAAATAGTACTCATTAAGTATTGGGCGAATTACGTTTGATATGATGATTCAGAAAATATAAAAGAATCACTGGCAGTTTATTGGAATCCTTTGTTTAGTCGGTGGTTATTATATAAGCTAATCGCGTGTGATCGTTCATTATTGTAAAGTTGTTATGTCTGAGTTTATGAACGAAGTAACTGTCGAAGGGGTTAATGTCGTAGACGGTCCACTTTGGTCTGAGTCACCAGTTTCAATGTTACTCAATAAAGGTCGACCAAAGGATAACAACCGAGGTCGTTTCTTGAATAAGCTTAGAGATCCTCCGCTTTTAGAAGAAAATACTCGTTTAGGTTTTGTTGTAACTGAAGGGGTGGTAATTGAATCGGTGTGATCTGTGGCATTCATGTCCAAGTTACTACCACCAGCTTTAGTAAATGCAACATGATTTCTTTGCTTCGTCTTTAAAATATTTGGACTACCATGACTTGATGAAAAAGTGGAATTTGAATCCGTATCTGAGGCTGAAGCTGTAGCAGGTGTTTTACCAAAAAATGATGGCCTCTTTGAGCCATGCAAGAACGATAGACGTCGACGTTTATTAATTTCTGTGTTTCTAAATATAAATCCTTTAGGATTCTTTTCTCTTTCTGGTTCAGTTGTTGTTGTGGATTCTTTATAAACATTCTCTACGTTTGTAGGTTCTCTTGAAGAGAACGATTGTTCTAAATCGGGTCTATTTCTAGTTTTATCCGTTTTCTTTTGCTCTTCTAATTCAGCTTCTTCATTTGATGACTCTGGATCCGTCTTTCTACTTTTAAAATTTAACAACGGTTTTCTAAGTCTTCTAGGAAATGAAGGTCTCTGTCTTTGATTTGTAAATGACGTAAGTCTAAGAAAAGGGTGCCTACTTCTTCTTGGTTCATCACTATTGTTGGTTTTAGAAGAACTCTGTGTCACCTCATCATTTATAAGATCAGAGACAGGGTGTTCTTGTCGTAGTGTAGGAGGAAGAGAAGGAGTAAGCTGAGGTGGTGAAAGTGTAACTTGATATGGTGGGGGAAGAGTGAGAAGTATTGGAGACTGACTTGTTGTAAAGCT